ATGTGAAGGCAACAGAACTTACGTAACGCATACGTTTTTTTTTTATAGTTTTTCATTTCTCGATGCGTCCTTAAAGTGTCGGAATATACCGCGTTTACCCTATCAGGCAGAATCTATCTGTTCTAGTGACCTAAAATTCCAAAAATAAGATTGAGACAAAGATGCCCATACTTCATGGCCAGGGTGGCAAACAAGAGATAATTTAGAATCAGTTAGCCTAATTTTTAACTTCCTCATCAACTCAAGATTTAAAGAAACCAATTTCTTATGTATGATAATGCTGGTATGTGGTATGCTGCTGCTGGTATTTAGTGGTATTACTGGTAATTATAGTGGACTGGTAAGTGGTATACACTATACAGTACCATGATGCCAAGCATGAAAAAAATACATCTACCTTAGGCCTTAAGCCATTCATCCTTTGACTAGAGGCTTAGAGGTTAGAGCTTTCCTGCCATTTTCAGAACCGTTAGATTCTTGGCATTTCCTGCCACAGTGCCACTTCCAGATGAATTACCTCCTATCTAATAGTTAACAAAAGTGCAAGATGGGGCTGTGTGTTTCCAATTCCAAATGTATTAAAAATTTGTCACACCAGAGTGACTGGAGCCTCGTGATTTCAGAAACAATTAGGAAAATTCCAATCCTGAATTTCCTGCATGATGATACTTGTCTTTTGTCTACTGTTTATACCTGTCTACATGATAGGTACTTGTCTTTTGTCTACAGTTTACTTGTCTACCGTAAAATGGGGTAACTTAGACCACTTTTTTTTTATAAATGATGCCATTTTTTAACTAGCTAAATTAAACTTAAATTGAAACATGCAAAATACAGGTCTATACTCTAGCTTCACTTACCATAAATTGCTGGCTCCTGTCTCTCATAGTCTTTATGTAATTTCAAAAAAAGTGGTGGTCTTTGTTACCCCAGCTCTTGGGGTAACTTAGACCGGGTGGTAAAATCAATTATATTTTTTGGTAAAATAACTCCAAATAACTCCAGGTTTTGGTGCATTGTAGTAGAACTCTTCTAGTTACATATGCAAATGACAAACTTGA